TAGGGAAATATTAAATATAAACACAACAAATTTTGTTTCAATTATTTTTATAACAGTAAGGCAAAAATGGCATAGATAACCCATCTGACTTAATCAGTATTGTCCTTGGGCATAAAGTTCCACTTTCACTACTCACATTGGATGATCAAGGCCAATAACCCTGATCACACAGTGAGCTGGGTGTGGCTGGTCTGGGTTGAGCTCCATGGAAATCAAGAGTTACACAGAGAGCAGGGTCATTCAGACTCAATTGCGGGGTCAGAGCCTTAATTAGCAAAATAAAACTTATAAATAAAAGCTAAAGTTTAGATCAAAAACTATTTCAGACTTTCACTTAAATGTGTGTTTTGATTTTAGTCAATTACATATATTTAGGTCCAATCCTGCCAATAGTTATGCATATAAATAACTTTTCTCATTTGAGCAAAATAACTCACATGCATAAGTGTTGGCATGATCAGGCTTCTCTATAGTGAAACATTCTGTCAGTCTTGACCAACAAACCTAAATTTTGGACTTTCCTCTTTCTAAATAATTTATCCAAAAATTGTTGAATGTTGTTTCAATCTTTATTTACCTATTTGCTTTTAAGTTGCAAACATGCAATCTAAAAAGGAAAAATGTAGAAAAAAATAAACAAAAGAAAATATTTAATGGTATCAAGTCCTTCTATAAATGTTTCAAAAGTGATCATTATGAAATATTTAAGTGGACATCTTCATGAGATGTATAAAATGAATAATTTGCATGTGTGAAAAAGCATGCAAAATGTGTTTTGAAAAATCTAAAAATGGGACATGCTGAAAAAGTTTCACAAGATATTTATATTCAGGGAGCAAAAATGTATCACGTTGCAAAATCTGACTCAAATTTCTTTGAATACATATATCAAGATTTGTTTTTTATTATATTGCGACAGTAACAAAAGACTGCTATATTCTGGTAAAAACAAATTAATAAGTGTAACAAGCTAATACTGAGATCTTAAAATGCAGAGAAAAAAATTCACATGATCTATTTAATAACTTACTCTGTCAATGATTTATTTTATAAATATCAAACAAATTAAATGCAATCTGCCACCCTCCCCCCAAAAAAACAAGGCTGATTACCTTTTAATTTCCAGACTTCTCTCATTATCTAGTCTTTTGTTATAAAAAGTTGCCAGAATGATTGTAGGCCTGTTCTAGAACCAGTTCATGGAAGGCTGACCTTTATAGGGCTTTAGATCACACACTATAATACTTCTAGAATAGTGATAGAGATGTAGCCGTGTTAGTCTGGTGTAGCTGAAACAAAATACAGGACGATGTAGCACTTTAAAGACTAACAAGATGGTTTATTAGATGATGAGCTTTCGTGGGCCAGACCCACTTCCTCAGATCAAATAATGGAAGAAAATAGTCACAACCATATATACCAAAGGATACAATTTAAAAAAAATGAACACACATGAAAAGGACAAATCACATTACAGAACAGAAGGGGGATGGGGGGGGGGGAAGGAAGGTGAATGCCAGTGAGTTAATGATATTAGAGGTGGGGAAGGGGAAATGTCTGTGAGTAAATAGTATTAGAGGTGATAATTGGGGAAGCTATCTTTGTAATGTGTAAGATAGCTGGGGTCTTTGTTAAGTCCAGTGCGGAGAGTGTCGAATTTTAGCATGAATGCCAGTTCAGAGGATTCCCTTTCAAGTGCAGATTTGAATGTCTTCTGAAGTAGGATGCAGGTTAGCAGGTCATTGAGACTGTGTCCTTTCTGGTTGAAAGTGTCCGTCTGCTATGTACATTGGACAAACGTCTCAGACCCTTCGCCAAAGAATCAATGCCCACAAAACAGACATTAGACAGGATCACAAAGAAAAAACAGTTGCTTGTCATTTCAACCAAAAAGTAGCCGTTAGTTCTAGCTTATGATGGACATATCAACGCCTTTCACAAGTAGTCCACTTAGGACTTACAGCACTACAAGTCTATACTGAAAAATTCTTGATTTGATCAAACTCACTGATATTTTTTGCTTAAAAGATGCTGGTTTGATACAAGATATTGGGAGAGATTATTCACAGGTTATCGTGTCAATCATACAGTAACAAAACAAAGTAAGATTTTTCTAAGCCAACGTATATATTAAGGCTCAAATTACATTAGGACATTGTATTTGCATTCAGTCCATACATCTTGTGTTTTTCAGCTTCTACAGATGTAGATTTTTTTCCAAAGAAAATTTACTTTTATGTCTGTGAGATCTAATTGCACAGTTTTATTATTTTTTGCTAAAGACTATTTGGCACATCCTTTTTCTCCAACATTGGAACATTTAAAATTAACAGTTTATATAAAGAAACTTTTATTTGTTTTGTATGAATTTGTCCACCCAGAAGCAGGGAAGAGAAAAACATTTTGAAAACAGGAAAACATAGTTGTAAAACCACAATGGGACTCAAGTAGTACCTGAAAGTACCGTTAACTTATTTTTTATCTGAGGGTATGTCTACACTTGCACCCTAGTTCAAACTAGGGATGCAAATGCAGGCATTTGAAATAGCCAATGAAGCGGGGATTTAAATATCCTGCACTTCATTAGTATGATCTTGCCGGCGCGTTACTCCGAATGCCAGCTGTTTCGAAAGTGAAAGTGCGTGCCGGGACGCGTTTGTTCGAATCAAACCCCTTGGTTCGAACTAACGTGTCCCGGCGTGCACTTTTACTTTCGAAACAGCTGTTGATCGGAGTAACGGGCCAGCGAGATCATGCTAATGAAGCACGGGATATTTAAATCCCCGCTTCATTGACTATTTCAAATGCCTGCATTTGCGTCCCTACTTCAAACTAGGGTGCAAATGTAGTCATACCCTGACTGCATTGAAGTTCATGGTTTTCTTTTGAATCTGCATTTATAAAATATATAGTAATCATTTAGCATCTATCTGTATATTGTTCTTCATGGCTGCTGACTGTCACAGCCTCTTGGGGTGACTTCTCAAAGTGCCTCAGCTTCACCTAACTGGTCCCCCATGGTTTGTGTCTACAGTATCACCTTCCTTTCAGTCTACCAGCCCTTCACTTCCTGAGTTTGTCATCTCTTCCAGTTGCCCTTGCTTTGATGTTTTCTTGAAGGCTGTCTGGTGCAGGTCTGTCAGTACTTTGCTCCTCCTACCTTTCTGCCTTCCTTTTTTTTCTCTGCATGCTTCCCTTCATAGAAGACCCTATTTCTTTTATTGCTTGCAGCAGTGGGTACCTGCCTCCGTAACTAGCATCTCTGGCAGCTGCAAGCTGCTGCTTGTAAACAGGAGGGATGTTCCT